ATTTCCAGAAGTAGTAAGAGCAGGTCACATAAAAAAAAAGCAGCATCGTGTGGGTTTTCAAAATAATTTATCTTGCCTCCCCCTTCATTTCGTGGAGACTTTGCCTTGAAGGATGGCATTCTCCGCCATCCCTTGGCAACGAGATTTGTATCAGAGTTGGTATGTTCACAAAGAACCAAGTCCAAGAAGTGAAAAAAATAAAATAAAGAAATATCTTCGTTAGGCCACCTTTTGGCTCTGTACCTTGTGTTGAAATGCTTGTTAGGATGTTGGTACACAGTGTTTTGAAGAGCGTGTTAATTGTTCTTACAGTGGTGAACTTGGAATCTTTAATGGTCAATAACTTGCTATGTCTTGTAACTACTAGGGCCCTGATGGGCAGCCAGGTGTGAAAGGTGAACCCGGAGAGCCGGGTCAGAAAGGAGATGCTGGATCCCCTGGACCTCAAGGGCTTGCAGGCTCCCCCGGACCCCCAGTAAGTGAAAAAAAGAGAGAGAGAGAGAGAGAAAGAATAGGAAACAAACACTTGGTTTGTACCAGTTTCATGAACTGAATATTTCTCTTTATTCAATAAACTTTCTTATTTCTGTTTAGGGTCCTTCTGGGGTACCTGGACTGAAAGGTGGCCGAGGCACAAAGGGTCCTCCAGTAAGTAAAATAACTCTCTAGGATTTAAATGTTACCTGGAACCAGTGTTCCCTCTAAGCTGAGTTAGTGTGAGCTAGCTCACAGTTTTTCAGCTTCCGGCTCACAGATTTTTGTCTTTGCTCAGGAAGGGATGGCTCCAGAGCCAACTAATTTTTGCAGTAGCCAAATCGCTCGCTCAGAACTTTAATGCCAGTAGCTCATAAAACAGAATTTTTGCTCACAAGACTCCACGGCTTAGAGGGAACATTTGGAACTATGTGCTGAGCTTTATTCAGATTCCATTGTTTATTTCACTATTACCATAAATCTGCATTTCACATGTGATGATTAAACGGATTGTGTCATATGTTTCTTGATATGGCCAGAAGGTGTTGCCAACCCCTGTGTGAATGTATATATATTTTTTCAGGGTGCTACAGGATTCCCGGGATCTGCTGGACGAGTTGGACCCCCAGGACCAACTGTAAGTCGAGAGCTTATTCTGATGCATTCACGAAAAAGCTTATTGAGGAACATGCATTCTGAATTAAAGCTAAAATTAAAGCCAAAATTTTGTAGATGAAATTTTATTATCGGTAGTCTGAACTTATCCTTGATTTATTTAAAACATTTATATCCCACCCACCTCCAGTCGAAAAAGGTGTTCAGAGTGACTAGCAACAATAGTGTAAAACAATGTAGCTGAAATATCAGTATGGGGCAGTAAACAGAGTTGTATTCAGACTAGGGATATCGGGTTCAAATCTCTGCTGTTGCTGACTGAGTGATTTTGAGTCAGTCGTTATCCCTCAGGCTCACCTACCACACATCTGCACAGCAGATTTTGAAGGACTTTGGGGAGGATAGGTTGTAACTTCTGGGTGACTCTCTAGGCTTTCCCCTAATCTAATTTACCATAGACTCTTTGGAGATTCCTAGATAGTCACTATGAAGG